GTAGCCAGCCAAGTAGCCAGCCAAGCAGCTAAGCAGCCAGCCAAGTAGCCAACTGACACTGGAGACAACTGACACCCTCTGACACTGGTGACACAATAGAATACTGAAGACAACTTATACACAACCATTCAGATTATCTTTCCACAACACTGTTCAACACTTCCCACGGAAGTCTATAGTGTTGTGTGTCTGGTCAGGTTTTACGCATTCGTTTCAGTAATTTCAATAATAAGCACATTTATTCTTTAGCAATTTTATAGACTCATTATTTTTAATTACCGAAACATCTACTTAGAACACCATGCTGGGGTGGTCTTCATCCCCGCTGGCCACTGTGAGACTAAAGTTGTCATAATTTTTTTGTTCAAAATCATTTACCTTTGAGAGTAGCGTAAGCATTGTCGAGAACTTAATCGTCATCAACCCTGTATTTACAAACCAGTGTTTATCTAAGTCTTTCCTAAATCTAAACTTATCCAGTTTATATTCATCTTAATTACTGGATGTTATTTATGGGTGAAATACGCCAAAGTATCTAGTATTATAGTAGTAAGAGTTTTTGGTAAATATTCGCCATTAGACTACTTCCAATTGACTTTCACTTCAGGCTGCAAAGTTACTTGTATTATCTTCAGATTTTGTATACTAATCACATGTATACTAGTACTAGTCACAGTAGTGACTAGTACACATACTGTGTACTAATATGTAGTACACATACTGTGTACTAATATGTAGTACACATACTGTGTACTAATGTAGTACACATACTGTGTACTAAAATGTAGTACACATACTGTGTACTAATATGTAGTACACATACTGTGTACTAATATGTAGTACACATACTGTGTACTAATATGTAGTACACATACTGTGTACTAATATGTAGTACACATACTGTGTACTAATATGTAGTACACATACTAGTCACATGTGTGTCAGGATAGGCTTAAAATATATCTTGACTATTCCTTTGGGTCAGTCGTCCTTGTCACGCTCAAAACCCGACCAACTCCAAATGTGGTTTTTAACACTTTTTCAGCACGCTTGCCTCTCCTACCCAACCCTGCCTCCTTCATCTTCCCTTTCCAATATGCAACACCATGCTTATCCCCATTGTGTTTGTATCTGTGTAGTAGTCTGTCTCTCATTATCTCTCATTCCCTCTCATAAATCCTCCTTGGTTGGGCCCCCAAGATTCACGGCGCTCAGCTGCTCGTCTTCCAGCATTGCTGAGTCCATAAATGACAGATTTTTGCATAGACTATAATAATAATAATAATACTTTTAGAGCGTCTTTGATGGTCGCTGGGGCTATTGGGCCTGCCCACCCAGCTCGAAATCCGATATAACGAGGAGTGAGACTTGCACCAGACTTAGCGCGGGCTCGTCAACGTGCAACAGGGGTTAGGAAAGGTCTCTTTGATGCACTTCATACTGCATCATGTGTACGAATACGCGGGTTCACGAAATGAGTGTTACACTGGAGTTTGTTTTGGACGTTCTCAATCATTCCCACATTATAATTTCGCGTAGGTTTTAGTTTTAAATTTTCCTTGGATTTTATTGAACGTATTGACATGTAATAGATAATACTGAGATAATGAATGAAATAATGCGATAGTAAGAGAATGAGAGATAATGAGATAAGGAAATAGTGGTGAGAGAGAATGACACGACATGGAATTATATTAAATCGGGATTTTGTTTGTATATATTTGACCCCAACACCATTCGTATTCAGTGTCGTGTTTGAGGTTAAAAAAGGTTTAACATGCGTACGTTTATGGCTGAAGCTCATGTTGCAGTTTTAATGTATTTTCTCCCTTTTTTGTATTTCCTGAATTAAAATAAAATGTTTAATTCAACGACTTTATTCTCATGCTGATATGCCAGAACTCACGCATGGCTGAGCAGTGTGGTGCGTCTACTCTCCTAGTTGTGCTAGCGGGGGTTGAGCTTCGGCTCTTTGGTCCCGCCTCTCGACTGTCAATCAATTGATGTACAGATTCCTGAGCTTTAGCTTTGATGTCCAAAGGGATTGGAAAGGATGGGGGAGGTAGAGGGATGGGGAGATGAAATTCAGGAAGAGGATGCGGGTGTAGAGAGAGAGGAGGTTTGAAAGTTCGGTGGCCTGTCCACCATGGGTTGACATTTGTGCATGTGTTGTTTGTTTGCGTATGTGTTATGTTGGGTTGTCAGTACATTGGCTGGGGGGGCTAGTGTTTGTGACCTTGTTGGTGTCCTAAAGCACTAGAGCCGATGGAGTTGGCTGAAGGAGGCTAATCTTAGTAACATTAGGGTAGTTACACTTCTGATACCACGACAAAGGGTTTTTTGGTTTTACATTTTTTTTAGGAGTTTTATTTATTTTTTTTATTTATTTATAATTTTATTTTATTAATTTATTTATTTTCTTTATTCTTTATTTGGTGTTCCTGAGCCTATCGGGCTCTTATCACATCTACATTTGAAAAAGTGTATAGAGTCTGCCTCCATCACATCACTTCTTAGTGCATTCAATTTGGTAACTACTCTGACGCTGACAAAATTATTCCTAATGTCTGTGTGGCTTATCTCGGTACTCTGTTTCTGCCTGTGTCCCCTTGTGCAAGTACCACCCGTGTTAAATAATGTCTATACTGTCAATTCCCCTGTGAATTTTGCATGTGGTGATCACGTCTCCCATCACTCGTCATTACTATGTCTCGGGACGGACATAGGCGGGTCAGGCTTGGTCTAAGTTAAATGTTTTAAGAAATATAATTTATAGAGACCTCACATATTTCCTGGAATTGTTAATGATAATAATACACGTCGTCATCCTCCTATTGAGGTAGTACTTAAAGTAACGATGAAGACCATCGCACATATATTGACGAAAAAGGCAATTAGAAAGTAGAAATTAGTACTATTGAATTTGGACAAACTGGAAACGTTTTTGTACTGATGTGGTAAAGAAAATTAAACCTAACTTTCCTAGGCCTAATACACACTATCTGAGGCCTAATATAATATATGTGCTATACTAGGCCTAGAAATATTTAAGTTTCGTTTTTAGCTTTTTTTTCAGACTTTAAAGTGAATAGTATCAAATTCTACTACCTAATTGTCAATTATATCTTTATGTGAGATCTTGAGGTTATCTTGAGATGATTTCGGGGCTTTAGTGTCCCCGCGGCTCGGTCCTTGACCAGGCCTCCACCCCCAGGAAGCAGTCCGTGACAGCTGACTAACACCCAGGTACCTATTTTACTGCTAGGTAACAGGGGCATAGGGTGAATGAAACTCTGCCCATTGTTTCTCGCTGGCGCCTGGGATCGAACCCAGGACCACAGGATCACAAGTCCAGCGTGCTGTCCGCTCGGCTGACCGGCTCCGGCTCCAATGCGATGGTCCACATTAATGCAAAATGTATATCTAAACAGGAGAATGGGTTGTAATAATATATTTTCTGAGAGAACGGGGAGAGAGGGAGGGGGAACATGAGAGACCAAGGGCTATAAGGGAAAAGAGGGAAAGGGGGGGATTAAGCAGAGAGGAAAGGGTAGAAAGCGTGGGAGAATGTAGAAAAGGGGCGGAAGAGAACCGGGTGGAGCTGGGTACCCCTTCTACAATTAAATAAAAACAACTGTTCGAGGTTGAAGGCCAGGCGGGGAAGAAGAGAGGGGCAGGTTGGGGAGAAGGGGGAGATGGGAAGGAAAAGAAGAGGAGTGGGAGGGGAAAGCCGGGTGGAATGGGGGGCGGAGAGACGGACTATCCCGGACACCACCGGATATATATATATATATATATATATATATATATATATAATATTCATAATATACAGTATATATATATGATACACATTTTCTGATAAAAATAATGCTTGAGCTGTGTACCGGAGGCGTGATGATTCTCTTTGATGAGTAGAGTGATAACAGTACTAACTGCTCGATAGTACAGTACCTCATTTCGGTAATTTACTCGTAAATGGATATCAATTTGTCCAGAATTACAGCATAAATAACACCGGCGTCCTAGCGGTGTTATTTATTACGTATTCGATATCGCTGTAGCGTGTGTATAACAAACGGAATATTTTCACTGATTTCTGGTTCCATTTATGGCGAGGCCAAGGAAGGGGCTTGGGCGGCCTCACGCACGACACACACACACACACACACACACACACACACACACACACACACACACACACACACACACACACACACACACACACACACACACACACGTATATATATACAGCCTCGTCGGGCTGCTTCCTGGGGTATGTCTGTGTGTGGTGTGAAGAAAAAAAATAGTAGTTAGTAAACAGTTGATTGACAGTTGAGAGGCGGGCCGAAAGAGCAAAGCTCAATCCCCGCAAACACAACTAGGTGAATACACACACACACGCACACGCAGGAATTATATTTAAGGAAGTGAGTGGAATTTGAAGTCTTGGGCCAGATGCACAGTTTACTGCCATCAGTTTCTCTTTGCGGGCGACGTATACGCCCTTTAACGTGGAATCCTGAATATCTGAATTTTTCTGAGGGTCTCGACGGGGACAGGAAACCGTCGGGGCTTGTCAATGGGTTCCCAGCCTCTTGAGTATTTTTACCTTGTTGTATTTTGAACTGGAGTACTACCCTGATATATACGTGTTCAGCGCGAAGGCCATCCGTAGGTTTATTACCCTATGAGAGAAAAAAGCATCTGTTGCTTGTCCTACATAGACAAATCAAAGTAATGTTTGACATCAATTTGTCTCTACAATGAAATAAAATCAATATTAAAACATTTGTCAGTTTTAACTGCATAGCTATTAAGCTATGAACAAGAAATAAAATTGAAAAGTTTAATCAAATTTACGTTTTCTGATCAAACTGCATGAAAATTCTGTTTTTGCCGATTCTATTTTGCCAACCAATCACTCAGGATGTACATTAAATGGACAAAATATCAAATAAAAAAGTGTTATATTAAAAATAAAAAGAGATGAAATATAAACATTTGCAGTTTAACATCTTTATTTATAAAACTCGAATAGTCCTATACAAACTGACTAAAAATACCTTTGTACACACAACTCGTCCTGCCAGCTGACCCACCAAGGCGCCTCTCGCAACTCCTACACCGTATGACAATAAATTTGTTCTAAACCATTTTTTTTATTAGTATTGGAGGATCACTGGACCTGCAAAAATAGATAAGGTTTCCTAAAGCATCATATGCATTATGCTCTTCTTACCATTCACGGTGCAAAAAAATGCATACATTAATCCAAAAAGTCATTCAATAATAATAAATATACGTAAACAATTAAAAAACAGCAATTGACATTTAAATACATGAAGAAAGCAGACACAATTTTGAGGCAACAGCGGCAGTAAGGGCAGGTATAAGCAGCACCGAGCAGGTAGATCTTGGTGACCGCGTCCAGCCTCCTGCTAGACAAGGCAGCCGGGAACAGCAGCGACCTGCGGTCTCTGGCGGAGTGCGCATGCGCGGTCACAAAGTAGTCTTGGACTAGTGGACGATGATTCGCCTCCAGTGTGCACAGAGACGGTAATTATTGTAAATGTGCAATTGAACAAACTATGACACAAGCGAGTATTCTCAAGTTAGTGTGCGAGATGAACCGTAGATATGTAAGTATGGCCACCAGTCCGCGAGCACCGCCTCCCGCCAGGAATGTCCGCAAGTTGAGCCACAGTTGCGCCAAAACGAGTAACATTGACTGAAATAAGTCAGTCCAGATGTGTCGGCCGCTCCTGTTGGGGAGGCAGACTTCACGCCTATGTTTAAGACAACAGACTGACTAATCCTGTATCACAGCTGAAGGGTCTGAATATCAGATGATAAATGTAAATGATGTGACGACCGGTGGGGAGCACGGAACATGCCAGTCTCCACCTACAATAAGGAGCGACTGATATCGTTCCTTTATCTTATAACTATATATATACCCAGTTCTGTTACGGTATTTCTTGACAACTCTTTGTTTGAAGACCAACTTTAAAATATATCCCTATTCAATTGCTTTAGTGTTAGTCTGAGCATGTCCCTACTCGACCTGTCCGAGACGTAGGCGTCACACTTGTTCCATGAGCGTAAGACGCATGCGTGAGCCGTGATATAGCACCCATAAGTATGTACCAACAGCTTGTGTTGAGGTCACGGAGAAGACCAGAGGTGGGGGACAAGAGGACGCCCACATTCCTCTGGTTACAAACGCAAACATGATGATGAATCTAGGCCAGTGCAGCCAAACGCCACGCTTCCCCAACCTGCTGTGGGCGGCTCAACAGGAGACGCTGAGGGGAAACACTTCCATGTCGGTTATGGTCGGAGGTGTTGTGGTGGTCCGCCATTGCTATATGTGTACTGGAAGGTTTGGTGATCATTTCTGACAATTAATGCTTTGTAAATCTTTCAAAAGCACCAGTGCTAATTTATGTAATCCAGCTGATCCTTGCCTGCCAGATGTCGCATATTTACAACAACAAAATTCAAGGATGCCCAGTTTATGCATTAAAATGAATCTAGGGCAGTTGTGAATGAACTCTTAATTAACTTATTCGACTAGTAAATGAGAGGTAGGTTCCCAGATTCTCCACATTAAAAATGCATCTTGCAATAAAAATTGCAGGGTGACACATAAGTGCATGACTTTCTACTACATCTCCAATTAGGCTCCGACAGCCAATCTCATGAACCATTTTTTTTGTCATGGATATTTGGAACTTTTCCCCCTCAATGACTCATCAACTCGAACACACTAGGATACAAAACACCGAGAGCACATGGTTACCACCGTTGTGATGCACAAAACAATGGGAGGGAGGTGTGAGGATAGGCAACAACGGCCACTCCGTAGCCTCATGTATGGGAGAACAAGGTCCTATCCTCCCTCCCCTCTCCCCATACATGCTCCGTCACAGACAAATGAACATCGACGGTCTCACCAAAGACAAGCGACACGAAGCACCTGGAGACTGAAGTGGAAATGGACTAACTGTACAGCCACTGACTACACACTGTAACTGCTTCCACTTCAGTGTAAACATTTCCCAAAACGCTCAGAAATAAGCATGAAGGCGAGGGGCATATGGATATTTGTCAAAACAAAGAAATTAAATTTTCAAACATGAACACAGTGATAATGGCCACGCAGCCGTTGTCTGGTCTAGCACCTCAGAAGCAGTCTTGGCCTACTACACTGTTTATACACGTATTTGTTCATATTTTTACACGTACAGCACTGGTTTATAAATTTACACACACAAAATCGATTTGTATTTCAGGGAGATAAAGCTCTGAGTAAAAGACCTCACTGGGGTTACGGCAAGTCTTTCCCACTTAAAGATTTGTCACAAAGAATGTCCACTTGTGAAAGGACGAGCACAGAAACAGAAGGCCACTAAGTTATGTGTGTGTTGCCACATCGACAACAAAATTTCGTATTTCAAGCACAAAGCACGGTGATGTATTTTGGACTAGCGTTCACTGTAATAAAATACATCTTATGTACAGGTTAAGTGTCTTTATCTTTCGTCAACAACTATTCACAACTCATACACCTTGTCATCTGCAGTCCCACTGTGCCTACACAAGTGGAGAGGTAACAGAGGTTTGGGGATCAAGGTTGGCATGGTGATTGTACTGTAGGCGTGGCTTGCTGTGCTTCTTAGGACATGGTGGCCTAGGAGGACGTGTATGCATAGACTGAGCCGGCGCATATGTGCTGTCGTCAGTGCTACAGAAAGACCCTCCGCGCCCCCATCTGGCTTCCCCAGCTGCCCTTAGAGCCTCTGCCCAATTAAGGTCCTGAGCATGAGAGAGGGGATGATCTGCGGAGCAACAAGAGCCGCCCGAAGAACAGCGTGATTCGTCCTCGGATTCGGCGTCACCTAGCGTGGAGGACTCTGGCGAGGTGCGCCCATTGAGAAGTGGCTGAGAATACCACTCAACGTCGCTAGCCTCTTCGGGGATGTTTAGACTCATGGGCCCGTCTTCCACACCTAATTCAGTCCGGTAGCGCTGGTCATCACCTTCTACCCTTGGATGTGTTCCACGCAAGTTCATCATTCGCACCTCGTAGTCGCTAGATCCTGTTAAGCCGTGTCCTGCCAAGGGAGACGGTGGTGCACGCAGGTTAGTGCGTGGGGGGCGTGGCCCTAACAAGGGGCTCCCATGTGACCTATGGGAACCCCCAGAAGAGGAGCCACCACCATAGGGAAGCTGCTGGAGTAATAGTCTAGCAGAGGGTGATTGGCCTCGGCTTCCTGTTGATGCTAGGGTGTTGTCACTGGACTGGTCCCCACCCATGAGCGGTGGTGGAGGTGGCGGAGGAAACTGCAGCACCGGTCCCGTCAATGAACCTGCAACCAAAATGACATACTGTTGCAACTCTTTATACAATCAATAACAATATTCAAATCATCATTAATCTCAATTGCATTACAATTTTTATTAATATTAGTAATACCAGCAGCAGTATCACAATCAGTACGAAGTTATGAATGAATATTGTTGTAGTCCTCTATCCCATGTTGATACCTTTCTCAGGCTGGGTGTTGAAGTTGTGTGAGCGGTGGCTAGCATGGCTGCCACTGTGGTCGCTAGATGCGGTCTTTGTGCAGGAATCGTCAGATATGGGTTTGGAAGGAAGGGCCTGACCAGGACTCACTGGGATATTTGGAGGCAGTCGGTTTCCACCCGGACCACGGAAAATATCCCTGATGAGGGGTGTGGTGGCGTACGGCTCAGGAGACATACACCTGTGAAAATAAAGGTCTTCCATTGACAAGAATCCAAGCAACAGTTGTTAATCATCTACAGTTTAACAACATCCCTAAATAGTTCTAAGCATAATTTGCAATACAAACAATATAAAGAACATTAGAGAAAAATGACCCATATATATATATATATATATATGGAGAGCATACACACATATATATATATATATATATATATATATATATATATATATATATATATATATATATATATATATATATATATATATATATATATATATATATATATTGCAACAGTTTTGGATGAGGTGAACAAACTTTTGACAAACACAAGACAGAACACGGAACAATGGGTATTAATTGGATATATGAGAGCATACATATATATATGTCGTACCTAATAGCCAGAACGCACTTCACAGCCTACTATTCAAGGCCCGATTTGCCTAATAAGCCAAGTTTTCATGAATTAATATTTTTTCGTCTACCTAACCTAACCTAACCTAGCTTTTTTGGCTACCTAACCTAAACTTACCTATAAATATAGGTTAGGTTAGGTTAGGTAGGGTTGGTTAGGTTCGGTCAATCTACGTTAATTTTAACTCCAATAAAAAAAATTGACCTCATACATAGAGAAAAGGGTTGCTTTATCATTTCATAAGAAAAAAATTATAGTAAATATATTAATTCAGGAAAACTTGGCTTATTAGGCAAATCGGTCCTTGAATAGTAGGCTGAGAAGTGAGTTCTGGCTACTAGGTACGACATATATATATATATATATATATATATATATATATATATATATATATATATATATATATATATATATATATATATATATATATATATATATATATATAATTGTAGTCTCATTTGTGGTGAGGATACAATTATAGATTTTAATACCTGTCATGCTTCATTTGCTGAAATTTCAATTTCAAGTCAAAATGATGTTGATTAGTAACAACCATGAAACACAAATACAAGCAAATATAACTACCTGGGATCAACGTGACTACCAAAGGACACAAGCCTGAGGCCGTCCGGGTCTTCATACACATCCTCTGGTTGGCGGCCTTCGTAACCACTTTTACTTGAAGCTGGAGCAGCCGGACGGTGGTAGAGCTGGGTGATTGGCACACCGTGGCTACCCACGTCTGTGTACATAGTGCCAGTCACACCTACACCTACGCCTGTTTCTCCCCAACACCCAGGGTACTCGGACCACGGTCCGCTGCCCTCGCCTGGTGGGGTAACAAAAGCTAAATTTTACCTTCCAGACGTGTCACATAGCCAATCAATTCATTATTATTAAATAATATATTGATTAAAGCTACTGTAAGCAGGTGTAATTTATATTTAGAAGATAATGAGGTTCTCACCTTTACTGTAGTACTGAGGACACTTGTTATTCTGCCGTCGTCTGTAGATACAATAGACAGTGGCAGCAAGTGCAGCAAAGAGCACAGCAGCAGCTACAGATATTCCCACAATGAGGTAGGTGTTGTTATCGAAAGGTGAAGATTCCTTGATGTTTGGTGGATAGGTTTTGTCGCCCGGGGGAACAGCCAGGTTGAGGGGTGCCGAGATTGGCCCAGGACCCCTTGCTGTAACCCCTCGCAAGGTTACACGATATGTTGAGCCAGACACCAGCCCTGGCACCAGTGTCCATGTATTATTCACTGTTGTGTTCATCAACACATGACTCTGGTTTGCTGCATCCGATACCTACAAGATGTGAGGCAGAGCGATGTTAAAACACTACCAATGACAATAATTAGAGGAAGTACTTGCCAAGTCTTGAAAAACAAAGCAATAACAATTATAATTAGTAAGAAACATTAAAACTGCAATATTAAGCCAATAACTAGTTACCTCGAGGTTATAACCGGTGATGCGGCCGTTGGAGGAGTGGGCGGGGATGGGGTCCCAGGTGATACGGACGGCAGTGGCATTGACATAAGTGTAATGTAAACCGAGTGGGGGCACCGCCGGAGCAGCCTCCAGAGTGGTAGCCCGCACGGCAGCAGTTGGTTGGCCCTCAACTGAACGGTAGAAAGGCACCACAAACAGCTCATACCAAGTAGCAGGTCTAAGATTGCTGACCACATGGGATGTTGGCGGGGCACCATCACCATGGAGCGCTACTGTCTCCACACTTAGGGCGCCAGCTGGACTGCCATGTTGAGTCTCCAGTGGTCGATATCGCACATATACACCCTCTAGCAGTGCTGCGTCTACTAGCAGTTGCCAAGACAACTGGAGTGACGCTGCAGAATCAGGCTCTACACTGACCAGGCGGACAGCTGGCTGGGAAAGACGTGACCTAATTTCATGTAAGGGAGGTGCACCCCCAGCACCCTGGGCTAGTGTTTTCACGGTGTGGGTGACAGGCGATGGGCGTGACACACCGTGGGAATTACGAGCACGAACCACAAACATGTAGCGTGTCTCTGGACGTAGGTCAGTAACAGTGAGGGAAACAGGAGTGGGTGTGTGGCTGGTGGTGGCAGTCTGTTGTGTGGAGGCTGTAATCCAGGCACCTCGCAGGTCAGGGCTCCACATCTGAACTGTGTAGCCCAGCAGAGATGACAGACCTGGCCGCCCTCGCCGCCAACCCAATGATACAACTGTTGTGTTTACTCCCAGCACTGTCACCTGTCCTGGAGCTTCAGGTAGTGTTCCCTCATCTGGAATCTTGAAGAAGGCCACATTTGGGTTTGTAGGCTTCGCTACTATCAGAGAGGCTGTCCAAGTTGTGTCTCCGGATTCAGATTTGGCTGTGCATGTATAAACATCTGTGTCTGTAATTTTTAGATCTGCAAAATGTGAAAAATGTGCTGTTTATTACAAATAATAAATCATATTTATTATTATATTATTAGTGTCAAGTTCAAGTATGTTTATTGAGATAAGCAATAAATACATCTCAAAGGGATAGAGTAGCTTAGGCTATTTCTACCCCCCTATTTTATTAGTGGCATCGTATTAATGGAAAATATACTCACTAAAAAGACTGAAAAGAGGATGAAAAGATAGACAACCATTTACCTTTTATTCTTAGTGTTCCGAGTGGAGTGATGGAAATGCGTTCATCTGGCTTGATAGGTTTTCCTGCTTTCTCCCACACAACTGTGGGTTCTGGTGTGCCACGAGCTTCACAGGGCATCTCGCCTTCTGTGCCCAATGGCAGTGTCTGGTTCGAGGCACCTAAGGCTATAATAGGTGGGGGCATGTCAGCCAAATCCTGTACCTCCAAGTGAGCACGAGCAAGAGCTGACCCAGCAACACCTACAGCCGAGCAGACATAGTAACCTTGATCTTCACGCTTCACTCCGCGGATGGTGAGCGTGTTGTGGGCATCGACGGACCAGCGGCCGCCACCCCATGTCTGCCCAGTCCCCACTACGTTTCCAGAACCTTCGTGAGTCCAGTAAGTGGTAGGTGGCGGTGACCCAGATGTGGCACACTCGAAGGATGCCGTCCCATTGATGCCGACCCGAGCGTCCAGGGGCGTAACAGTGATAAGTGGCCGAGCTGAAAACACAACAGTCCATCAGCCTTCACAGATTTATCACATTAACAATATGACATTCATTAGAATATCAAGCTGTTGAAATCACAGAAAAAATTATGGAATTAAAATGCCTAGTATAGCATAGACTAATACCGTGGGATGTTATAAATGTGCTTGCACTTAAATAGAGTTAAGACTTACAGTGGACATTGAGGGTGATGTTGGCTGCGACGGAGCCCACGGGGTTCTCGGCTTGACAGGAATACACACCCTGGTCCTCAGGAGCCACGTGGTGGATCCTCAATACCTGGCTGCTCTCCTCCAGTGCCATTCTTCCCAGGGGCAGCTCCCCCGCAGGCTCCACACGACGCCAAAATACCTCCGGTGGAGGGTCTCCACCTACACGACACACCAGTTCCACCGTGGCTCCAGCTGCCCCTGTCACCGTCCCAGATGAAGACACCAAGTGGGGCGACACTGCAAATTTCCTTAGCATTACTACAGGGCACTCGCCACACCATCATCGCCTGCATCTTTATCCGCAGACAAAAACCAAACTTGCCTAGAGCTCATTAGGACTACTAAACTAACGTCTCTCTACCGTAAATTCTTTTATTCCTGGTCTAGCTGCATAAATATTCACAGGTCTATTCTAGTGCACCTTTTGGTTGTTGTTTTCACTAATTATTATTTAGACCCGCATCCCAGTGAAGCTAAGGTTGTTGAACTGTACTCTAGTGAGGGGCAGCAGGTCCTCAGGTGTTGTCCAATCCATAATATTATCTGTGGATTACGTGTAGATGATTTCGAGAGTTTTCCTACTCCCCTTGGGAAACCTGATGTGAGGCTTCCCAGATCCACAGGCACACACAGCATTATAACTTTATCTGCCGTAACAGAGACTGCTGCCTATACCAAGATTTAAAAAAAATAATCTCTCTAGGAGCAACTATCATCTCCTGTTATCTCTCGGTGGCATTATTCTGATGCAGTTGCCAAAGTATCATGAGAGTCGTTATCTCAAGCCAGGTGGGAGGCGTTATGCATCATAAAACACATTTATTTTGATGGCAGAGATTTTAAGTGAACTTTTTGGCTGTCGATGTTGAAAGTTTAAAGACATTTCAAAGGCCAGTGTGCTATTTTATTTGAATATATTAATATCTGCAAGCACAGATTAGGTAGCTAAGAGAAGTAGTGTTACAATGTGGTGAGTTGGCATGAAATCCACTATTTGGAGTCTTGGGATGAGGGGGGTGATAAGGGGCCTTGGGTCAATAAATGGTATTTGGGGTCCGACAAGGGATCTTGGAGGTTGGTAAGAAGTCTAGGGATCGGTGAGGGGGTCTTGGAGGTTGGTATGAAGTCTAGGGATTGGTGAAGGGTCTTGGGAAGCGGCAAACACCTACCCTGGACTGTGAGCATAGCCTGGGGTGTCTCTCTCTGGCCGAAGACGTTCCTGGCACGACACAGGTACTCGCCTGTGTCAGACACCCGCACCCCGCTGATCACCAGGCTCCCTCCGTCGACCACACGGTACCTGCAACACACGCAACACACCCGCCGTAAAATACCCGTAGTCATGGTACCTGCAACACAACCACTGAAAAGCCTAATCAGCAATATTTGAAATTACAAAATTTGATTATTATATCTACTTCCAATTCACACATTGTTCATGTAAGCCGCCAGTTTGATACGTTTCCTCCTGCAGTCATAAACAAATACAATCCTATAATCAACGTCTGCTGTATATCAATAAATGGAGTAAGGCTTCACCTCGCTGCATAATCTACTCCTCCGCCCTTGCCACACCCACACCCCCCCAGCGAAGACACACGCCAAATGCCAAATAAACATTATAAGCGCATATCGGAGCCGCGCCCAGATCAATTTCTTACTGCCGTTGTTCTCAGAGTGCTAGGAAGCATTCCCACGGTTCTTCAATGTTTGGATACAACCAAAAAGTCTTTGGTTGGATTCCAAAAGCAAGACAGATACGTTCCTTAAACCAGATGACTCTGTTCACCTAGCAGTAAACAGGTGCCCAGGAGTTAGCCAACTGTTTTTTTCACACACAGGTGTGTACAAGAGCAGATGACTTCTGACTCCTGATAGCAGGCCGAGACCTTTCCCTTCCCATAGATCATGGTAAGCTTTACCCTACTAGCTCTCCTTGGAAACTACCCATTAATCGGAACACAACCAGGTCTTCAATTACTGCTGGGTGAACAGGGGCGAACAGTTAAGATTTGGTGCCCAATCAATCTACTTTAGCCAGGACTCGAACCCAGGCTTGTCTTGCTTGTCTTGGGTTCCAATTGTTTGGTCAAGCTGGTACCTGCTGAGCCACAGATCCTTTACAGTTTATTCTACAGTTTGTGTAGCATAGATGAGGGAGGTATGGCATTTATTTGTGGTGTGAGATAGATGGGCGAGTGTGGGATGGATAGTTGAGTCTGAATCTGATAGCTGGGCAGATGTGGGATAGGTGGGTGTGGGGACAGATGGGTGGGTGGTTCGCATCGGCAACTACAACTAATCACTGTTCCAACTGAATGGCAATGTCTGTGGTAGAAACTGATCAGTCACTAACATTACCACCAGCCAGGCTTAAAATAACCGTCACCAACCAGTACAAAGACGGTGACACCTCCCCCAACACCACCAGTACTGAAGTGTTCACTACTATGCAAGACATCAGAGGCGTACCCACTAAACACCGCCTCCAGTGACGCTAAAGGGCTTCCCGTTGGTAACTTCCATTTGTGGTTCTGTAGAAACATGGTCGTTATTTAGCATAAGTTTCTTTTAAATGTTGATAGACCCCGCCAGTAAATATTGCCGGCCTGGTTGTCTGATTCAGGAAAGGTTCAAAAGAGAGGGTATTTTAATTTGAATAATGCGCTCCTTAGACTCCACCAGCGTCGCATAAGTCACCCGGCTGAGACCACTATTAATGACTGATACAGGCGGGAGGATTTTTGTTCACTGCCGTTCTGTGTGCCGTGAAGGGGGCAGCGGTGGCTTCCCCCACCCCCGGTCCCCAAGTGTAGTGAAGGGGCAATGGTGGTTCCCATCACCTCCCTGGGGCTCCATGTGTAGTGAAGGGCAGCGTGGCTCCCATCAACCCCCGACCGCCGCACCAGAGGCTTAATCAGGCCCCAGCGGGAGCGTGTTGGACAAGGGCCCCCCGTCGGTAGCCTAGCCACATTTGCATACTCTGACGATTCTATAAACTCCTGCAGAAATACCTCGGCCCCTCGCCTAAGGCCAGCTACTCTCTTACTTGCTACTTCGCCATCTTCTTCAGTCGACGGTCCTGCTATAGGGAGGAGGTACAAACATACCTCTTTGAAACGCCACCGCCCATACATTTAACGAAAGCCTCTGCACATCCAAAGCCAACCTCGACACACACAGGGCACAGCTACACCAACCACCACATGTTACCACGCTATGAGCGACGCTAAATCAAAGAGGCACGGATGGATTTATGCCAACATTAAGAGCCTCTGGGAGTCGCTACACCAAGTGAAGGTGTGTCTGATGCGAGACGTCCGCGCATATAAAACAGGGAGGAGAGGGCAAGGGGTCGTACAGCAAGGGGGAATGAAAAGAGCATTTATTGACCGACACACTGCTACTTAATATATAATGGAAGACCAAAAAAAATGGGAAGATAAAATTAAACCTTCAACTTCCTCAACTTCCGTTTTCTTTACTTACATCCCATTCTCACAGCCTATTCCCGAGACGTTGCTAATGATGACAATATAGTGACAGGTGCTGGGTTGTCAGAGTCACACTTGTAGTGCCAGTCATATGTACACTGACAAAGTACACACACATGTAGTGTCAGTCACGTGTACACAGAGAGGGCTTGGAGCACCATTTACTAAGAAAACAATTCTAGAGAGTGACAGGATCGTGCGACGTTGTCGGGAACACAGGGAAGAAGAGATGCTTGGCACTGACCTGTGTTGGGTAGCAGGGTCGAGGACCACCCCATCCTTCTCCCAGGACACAACTGGCTCGGGGTTGCCTCGTGGGGGAAGGCATTCCAACATGGCAGTCTCTCCCTCCGCCACTCGAGTCGCTTCCGGCACCAGTCGGAAGTCGTCACGGAGAACTGTAGGGAAAAACAAGACACAAACTTTGTAAATAAATATTATAAACTGGATGATGAATGTTCATGATCAAACAAAATAATTGCTGAATGTATCCGAACAGTAATGACAAGTCAGGATTGTAATCATCGAAACTTTTAAACACTTGTGGAGCACGTACTTGCGCACTCATGCACTCGAACAGGTGCACTCGCACAGGTACACTTGCACTCGGGGGAATAGATAAGTGGACAAGGATAGCCTCTTCAGATTAAAAGAAATCAGGACATATGGACACATGTGGAATTTAGAAACACAAATCAGCCGAAGGGACATAAGAAAGTACTTGTACCCTGTACAGGTAGTTAACAAGTGGAATGCTCTACAAGAGGAACTTGTAGAAACTACCTCTGGCCACAACTTTAATTCCCGATTCGACAAAGAATTTGAAAAACACAGTTAAGTTTAAATGCAACAGGTACAAGGCGGGGCATAAAGAGCTAGATCTCACTTCCCCTTAAACACTGATAGATAAGTACTGATATGTGAGAATGAGCAAACTTACCTAAGTGGATACTTTACTTCAACCCAAGCAAATGCAAGGTCATACGAATATAAGGAAGTGCAAGGAAGCCAGGGGAAACAATACAATTTGTAGGGGTAACAATCAGTTTCAGTAAGAGTAAAGTTCATGGAAGAAGAACACTGCACCCATCACCAAAAGCCCACATCTATAGAATTACATCGTTGCATAAGACATGCGAGATTAAAGGAGGAAGAAAAAACTCTAGGTAACTAAGCCTTGAAGACAGAAGAATCAGGAAAGGTATGATCCCCCATACAAATTCTCGGGGGAAATAGACAAGGTGATACACGAACAAGGGAACACAGGTGGAAATTAGTACAGAAATGAACCCAAGAGACAATAAATAATGTTTTCAGTGCTAGAATAATGAGGTGCTTAGTGTTTTTCATCTCACTATACTGAAAAGTGAAGTGCTGAAGGAAGACTCCATAAACATCATCAAATGTAGATATGACAGAGCTCAAAGACTCTGGAACCTAAACAACCAGTTGACTGAGAGCTTAAACTTTTTCAAATACAATGAGAGAGAGAGAGAGAGAGAGAGAGGGGGGGGAGGGAGGGGGGTCGAGGTAGGTAAAACAGCATCCTGGCCCGCCCTTCCCTATCCTAAACTCGACTCCTACAATATGAGCCACGGTATTATCTGACAGATGTGCGTGTTCAGCACTATCCGCCTGCCCTGAGCCTGGCCCGGCGCGGTCCGTGTCAACCCCCCCAAGTGTTTCTTCCCCGTCTGTGCTCGCCAATATGGCACTGGGTATTCCAGCTTGTTCTTGCGTTTATCGCTGAGAATAATAAAACAGTTGGGCGTACTTCACAACGCCTGCCTGCCTGCATGCCTTTCGTTAAGCGTCCCTGCTGTTCTCTTCCTCGACTGCTTGCCCACTTCTGTCCGTTCGAGTCCCTGCTGTTCGCTTCTTCGACTGCCTATGCATGCAGAACCGTATGGGCACATTTCCCTTTCACCTGATTCTTCTGGTTACCGAACAGTAAATAGATACCTGGGAGATAAACAACAGTTGTGGGTTGCATCGAAGTTGTTGGTCTATAGATGGGGGGGAGGGGAGGGGAACTGAATAAGCCTACAGGCTTCCTGTCCCCGACAATGGGGAACTACAATATATGTGACGCCTTACAGGATATACCCAACGCTTCTTCTCCAACAGGATTTCTTATCTAATACGTCGCATTTTTTACGGAATGAACCAATGTTAAAAATGCTTAAAATCTTAAAATTCTTAAAATCTTCTTTAAGTATTCTTAAAAATGAAAGCACCATAATGTCGATGTTATCCTCGTCGACGTTTTCGTAACATCGGCCTCGATAGGTTAGGTACCTTTTTGATTAGGGTTAGGTACCTGTTTTGCTTGGGTTGGTACCTTTTTGATTAGGCAAAACAGTTACCTGGAGGGGTCTGGGTGTTCTACTTCCCAAGCGCGACTTGGGGCGAAGGCTTTTGTCTCGTGATAACTTGGTTCAACAGGCTGTTGTTTGAAGCGGCCGGCTAGCCTACGTATCCAATATAACCCGGTTGGTCAGGCACTTCTTACAGGGAAAAGTTACTATTTTTTTTCTTGAAGAGGTCCACTCTTCATTTATAGTGGACCACCTTTTCATTATTTCATGTTTTATAGTGGCACATTTTTAATTCTAATATACTGTATCTTACAACATTCTCCCTCTTATCCTTCTCCCTCCCTTTCTACTAATTTTCTGTCCGTAACTATTGTATTTCTTTGTGACCATCTACCATCTCCTCCCTCAGATCCCGAGAGCGTGAAAAACCACTCTTGCAGTCCAAACGTTTTTCCTAAATAATTATTAATTTCTGTGCAATAACATCTATTTTTTTTCCATTAGTGTTAGCATCAATCTTCCCTCTATATTTTATCTTTTCATTTTCAAACACAATACTGATTTTGTTTTATTTCGAAGCACTGTCTATGTGCTTCTCTAGTTTCACCTCTGTCATTTCCACCAATACCTGTTCCCGCTTCAGTTATCTCATTCTCCATTCGTTTTCTTTTCCCCTTTCCGTTCTTCCCTCCACTTTTCAATTTCTTCCTTCTCCTTTCCCATTTCTTTCGGTTCCCACTTCCTCCTGCTTGATTTTTTTTATTGTTGCCGCCGAGGCGGCTAGTTTATTGTGCACCCCATACTCATCCTGTGAGCGGTAGCGCAAAAAGCATTACAGAGGGCACAAAAGGTCTTTATCAGACCTCATCTTAGATTATTACATAAACAATTTAATCTATCCTTCACACCTTATAGTTACATGTCAGCTAGTTACAGAGAATGTTGTTTCAAGAGCTATATATTTACAGTAAGTCATTATACATTAATGGTAGGTCTTATCACTAGTACATAATTGTTTGAGGAATGGAGATATTACAGTCATAGGGGAGCTGCTGTTTATTATTAGTCTTTACAATGCTGAGTTTCTTAATCTCATATGTCATTTATCTACCGGGAGCGAGATATGGATACAGCGCAAGGATTTCAGGTATTTTATCCTTGGTAATAAGATAGGTTGCCATATCATACTGCGTGAGCTTAGATTTATCTCTAAATGGCTCAATTTTACTACAATCCAAAATATAGTGTTAGTGTGTCCCTGTCTTTGTCCACACACTTTACACTTTACTTCATCTAGATCCCTATACAAGCCGAACTGCCAGAGATACTTGTAGCCAAGTCTTTTTCATTTCCCTTCGTGCCGCTTCCTCTTGATAATTTGTTTACTTTTCCCTTACAACACATCTTTAAAGAAATCCCTCCTCAATGTTCCTTCGCCTCTTCCGCCACCCATTTACTCTGCCTCCTCTAAACCACCCAACCGTCCCACAGGATACAGTGACAAGGAGCTGAAATATGAGGACAAGCAGTTGGGGTATGGGAACTAGTAGCTGGGACTTGAGGACTCGGTAAAGGAACAGTGCTCAACTACTTGGACCTCTGGGAACGCTGAAAGGGGACGAGACACACAGGACAGCCCCTCTTAAACTATGTCGGTGCTACAGATGGAGAAAGATACATCCGACACATTCCAATAAGGTATGGCCTTTGAAGTTAGAATTTAAGCCTGAGATACGGAATCCTGAATGCTGTCAGCGTCGCTGAGGCAACCCTCTGCCTCGCTGGCGACGCGGCTCACGCTCCTCCTGGTTTGTATGTGATCTGATGCTCCAAGTTGCAATTATTCCTCTGATTTACAGAGGGAAGGAAGAGTAAAGGGAGTAGTAGCCTAGAAAAGCGAGCATTAAGATGATGCGTGAAAAAACCATCAGGGGGACTCCCTTCACTCACTGGGATCCCATTTATAATTATACAAGTTCCATTCGTGCTTCACAACCAAACTCGCTCTCCTCCCCCCCCCCCTCCCTCCCACACACACAAATCAGAAGACCATTATGTATCTATGAGAGGTTCATGTACAATTGCAAAGCATCTCAAAGGCACAGTTCTTGTGAGTGTGGACAATGCCAGTGTGTGGACCCCACTGGTGTCTCCAACGTCTGACCTCTGCACCACGCCCTTTGGCCGGGGACGGGTCCTTTTGAGTACTCTTAACTCCTGCAATTTATTCATCCAAAGTTGGAGGGATTAAACTGGTGTGTAATTTGTTTGCGAGTTAGGACAGACATTTTTAAGGGCGTGATATTTCTCTTGGACAGGGACGATATATATAATATATATATATATATATATATATATATATATATATATATGTGACGATAATCTCCTTCAAGAGATTGAGCCTGCTCTTCCCTCCAAAATTACGTCTTCACAATTATATAAAAAGACTATGGAAGAAATGTCCAACAACGACAACAACACCAACACCAGCAAGGCTTGCAAGGGTGAGCAGAAACGTATGCAGCCCGCCACCTGTTCGGACCCAAATCACCAAACTACCCGTTGATCGCTACGGCTCCGCTGATTGGTCGCCGGTCTGGCTGCACCTGCACTCGCCCCCCAATACTACCCGATGTCTGGGGTCGCCCCAACATCAGTCTTCAGAATGTTCCGTGCTTTCGTAGCCAGCACACCTCCCAGCTAGACTCTAGAGTGTACTGAGAGAGGTGGTGGCTTTAAGCCAATATTCCAGCACCTCCCACTTAACTGTTGTATTGCACTTCTTGTTATTTTGCCTTAATGTAACTTTTCATTTTGTCATTTAAGAATTCTTATTATTTTGATTCATTGATTTTATTATAAGAATTTGTTTGTGCATTATTTTCATGTTTTGATTTATTTAACGTCATTAAAATTTCATTGTTAAAGTTTTACTTGTGTTTTGTGTGTCTTCTCCTTACCTTACCACAGACGAAGTTCCAGTTTTTCTATTTTTTTTTATAACTATGTGACGAGGCCATACCCCTAGCCTTAAACAGCCGAACACCAACGCGTTACCGTCACAATATATATATATATAT